GACAGCCAGAGACACTGACAACGCTTTATATTCTATTTATGAGCCACAGAAAGTCGAGCAATAGCAACAACACAATGCACAGAAGGTAAACTTAATTTCAGTCAGAGAACAGAATAGAGCAGGAGAGAATAGAATGGAATCAAAAGGCAGAGATAGTTGTATGGGGCTTAGTTTGGCATTGACTGGCTTCCGTTTCCGCCAACACTGGCGCTGAATTCTGTTTCCTGTGAGTTAGCAGAGCCAGAGCGAGCGACTCAGTCAGGCCAGACATTGAGGCAGTCAAGTAGTCAGCCCGTTAGTCTGCTTAGTGGGTAATTTGCAAATGGCATTGAGGCGCTAGAGGAGGCATGGCAAAGGCAGAGGCGAATGGCTTTCGCAGTTTAATTACACCTTGTTACACTGTCCGATGGCGCAGGTGAACACATTAACAGCGCAATTCAAGTTGCCAAAGCGAATTATTACGCTGACAGAGTCGTAAATATTGAGCTGAGTTTTGGCTTGAATGGCCGCCTATGCCAGTGGAGATAGATTCCAAATAATTGTTGTGTTAATTACGTAACGCAACTGTATTTCGTAAATAATTACTTGCCCAACGGCAAGCCTGCATGCGTGGGCTCCCGGGCGCATAATTAATGCAGCCAATTGTGTCTAAAATATGACACATACGACCCGTGGGCCATGCAGATTTTCATAATTTGTAACGCGGCAGCTGTCGCGCTCGCTGCCTGTAATAAATCATCAGAGTGATGCATATGTAGAGCAATAGCCGAGAATTCGCACTGAGTGCCCTCTGGGCACATGCGGATGGATGCTGCAGCGTGTTTACATTTTATTTTTTTTTTTTACTTGAATCGTGATACAAGGGCAGGCATTGACTGACAAATATCGTTGAATGGATTGCTGCGCAATGAAAAGTAAATATGGGCGTAGATAACTATAATGAGAGGTGGATGGGCGCGGTATTGAGGCGTGTTTGACAGCCACATGAGTTATGAGCTCTTGACTTAACTACAGTTCTTGGCAGGTCGCTGCTCGCAACTGCAAATCATTTGTCACAATTTATATCGCAGAACAAGAAAAATCGCCAAGCCGCCCGCCTGCGCTCGTTAAGCGCCCAGCAACAACAACAATGGCCATTAACAAGAACTATAAAACAAAACGAAAAGAAGCAAATATGGCCGGGCATTCAACACGAAAATCGACTGAAAAGCAATTATTTACACTCTGGCAATAAAAAATATGCCACAGGCTGTGCCTCCACCTTCCACCACTGCCACGCCCGACTCAACTCGACTCGCCTCGCCTTGCAGCGGAGTTGAGTCCACGCAAAAAAGCGAACAGAAAAATTGTGTCAAAAATTGGTGCTGTAAAATTTATTACCTTCGCCTTTGGCTGGCTGCGCGTCATCTTCTCTTCGATTGCATTTCGGGTGCCCCGGCCAAATTTTTATGGCCTCTGGCCTGACTGATAGAGAGAGAGAGAGAGAGTGTGAGAAAGTGTGAATGAGAGAGAGGGAACTCAACTTTTGATTTTTACGAGCTTGACGCTTTTAAGCGTCGAGTCGACAAATCCAAATCTCAATTGAGCCTCACTCTTGAATAGGCCAGGGATTTCCACAAAAGCCAATTATGAAAATGGGAAAAACCCAACGCTCGCATCTGCTCACATCTTGACGTTGACATTTTCAATTTGTCGGCCATCAACGGAAGCCGTATAATCAATCAGCTATAATGTATTTCTCTGGCTTGCTTACAGGCCGAAAATGCTGCAACGCCCGCATTGGCATTGGGCCACATAACGGAGTCCCCCCCACCCATTCAGCATCCTCAGCGAGGCCGCGTGTTGAGTCGAGTGTGTTTCAATCATGTCGGCGCCCACGTCAATGGAAATCAGCTGCTGCCTGGTGCTGCTGCTCCTGCTGCTGTTCATCCACAACGGTAAGCCCTGGACACTTCCCACATATTCTAGCTGACTCTAATTCGCTTCGACAGGCTACAGCATAGACTGCTTCAAGTGCGTTTCGAATAACGGCGCCAACAGGGCCTGCGACGATCCATTTCATAATAACTACTCCACCGCCATCCTCGAGTCGCCCTGCATGGGCGGCCGCAAAGGCCGCGACGGCCTCTTCCCGGCCACCGCCTGCATTAAGATCGCCGGCTACTATGGTGAGTGGATGCTCTAACTAAATGTGAGTTGATAATATTATTGAGTTGCACTCGGCACAGATGACAACGGCGAGACGATAACGGTGCGCGGCTGCGCCCTGGACAGCGGCACACTCACCACAGACACAGAGATCATAAGAATGTCGCATTGTGGAAAGTTCTACTATGACAACAGGTGCGTGAGCTAGAAAAATATATTTGTACATGTAGAGAAATATTAATATGTCCTTATACATACATTTTTTGTTATGACATGCGTGAAATTTTATGAGGTGATTGGCACAGGTCTCTTAATAAGGCCATAAACAGGGCACATTTGAATTTGCCATAACATTTTATGAACTGATACAATTACGTGATAGGCAGTCGGGCAATTTTGCTCCTGATTTGCAATAAACGATATGCGTTACGATAAAGATTATGTTAAAGTACTGGCAGTTAACATAATATGTTAATGCTGTGCACTTATAACAGACCACGTAACAATAGCTGGGCTGTTAACTATAGCAGAAGCCAACGTCTTTACGCTATACGAATTTCACACTAAAGCAGAAACATATTTTATCAATTGATTATTTTAATGTATTTTATTTTTGGCATACACTGCATGTGCCATTTACATACAAATACAAATTTGAGTTAAGCCAACTCGCTTGGCCTGTTTGTTCGCCGATGTGCACAAGCTAAATAGGTCTCGTGATTTAGCCATCTTACCGTGGCATTCCTATAATTCTCGCTTGCTCCGTGACGTATATTAAAAAGCGTGCAGTCGAGCTTTAACGAAATTCATATGTTACCTTTGCGCTGAGCATGCTGACATTAATATATTCCCATTGTCGCAGCCATAACTTAACATTATCTGAGCTACCCGTTCTTCCATTTCTTTCAGATACGTTCACGGCTGCCTTCAGAGCTGCAGTGATGCGGACGCCTGCAATGGCAGCCACCCCAAGGACGTGGAATCCTTGCTGCTTAGCGTTGCGTTGCTGCTTTTGGCAACTGCAAGGTAGCAGTAACAACAACAACAGCAACAACAACAACAACAGCAACAACAGTTATAATAATGGGAAGGAACAGCAAAGAGAGCTGTAGCTAGCGACCCATGAAAGATGAAGGAAGGGATTAAGCTAAAGTGAACGTGAAAAAAGCATTTAATATAATTCAGCTGCGCGAAAATATTTGTACACATTACATCCGCTGCTCTATCTGTATCGTCTCTCTCACTCTCTCTCTCCCTCACCAGCTATTGTGTGTCTAGATCTATCTCTCCCACTCTCTCAGTGTCTACAATTGCACATAACAGTAATTGCGCACAAGGATAACACAGGATAACATGGCAGAAAAAAAAATTAAAATGAAATAAAAACAATGTGAAGCATATTTATATGGAATTCATCAAGCAATTATGTGATTTATAAATGAATATTTAACAACTATTTAACAATAACTGATGGAAAAAAAAGGAAAAAAAACTTAAACAAAACGAATATTAAACAACTTAATTTAAACTATTTACCTATAAAATACAAATAAAACGCAAAGCGCTCCTAGGTAATTATCGAGTCAAAATCAAAGTTAAAAAAAAAAAAGAAAAAAAAACAGAAACGAGAATTCAAATTCAATTGCAATTATTTTTAGCGAATAATTAGGTACATATTTACATTTTGAATTACAACTCACCTGTGTATTTATCGCTCGATTACTGTAAATAGATGAATTCATTCGTTAGGAATTGCTGAATTTTAGGCAAACATTTGTTAACAATTACGAGTATATAAAAAATAATCTTAAATTAACGGCCATCTAGATAGAGTTAAACAATGTAGAAAACTGCGAAACGAGCTGTAAATCAATATTGAAAACTATGCTATTTATTAGGAATTTCATTAATCTATTTCTGGGGTAAAATTCACAAATAGTAACTTGTCCGATTAATCAAAAACGGTTATTTTATCAAATCGTTAATCATTTTCAAAGCGAATTCCAGCATGATTAACACAGTTCTTTTATGCTAAGTGAATCATATCAGGAAAGGTAAAATACAAATGTATTCAGTTTATGATTTGCTCAGATAATTTATTCGTGAATCGATTGTAAACTGCGCTATCGCCAGTTGCCTAATGCCGAACCAGATAAGATTTCAAATGGAAAAACTTCCATAAGCAATATTAGCTGGCTGCCTTTGGTAACCCTTAGTAACGATTCAAAGGCCGAGCAGAATGTCTGGTAAGCAGTGAGGCGCGAGCTCATAGCTCTGGTTGCATAATCTAACACCTCCCACTGATCCTTCGCAGTCCACACTTGGTTACACTACAGCCACGGCGCCGTGCCCGAAGATGCCGTCGTCGCTGGCCACGATGCCGATGGCGACACCATCTTCATTGGCCGTGCATTCCAGAACAACGATTTGCTGCCGGCGAAGGTCATACCGAACAAGGGCAAGGCCTATGTGGCCTATGGCGGCAACGAGATCGAGCTGGAGAACTACGAGGTGCTGAGTGGACAGAACTACATATGGCTGTCAGGCGCAAATGGCGAGGTGCCAATCGGTGCCGTTGAGGTAGGTCGCAACGTCGACGGCGAGACACTGTACGCTGGACGCGGCTACCATGCCGGCAGCCTGACCGTGGGCAAGGTGCACCCCTCTCACGGCTGCCTCTACATACCCTTCGGCTCCGAGGAGGTCAAGATATTCGCGTACGAGGTGCTGTCCCGGAACGCGCGTTAAGCGTCCGTTAACATATTTAAATCATTTTGTTGTGCAATAAACTAAACCTTTTGTAGAAACTATTCTACCGCCTTATCTTTGTGTCCGATTGTCCGGCGGAATAGTCTACTGCTTCATCCACTTGTAGTTATCGCAATATGCCGTCATAAGGCGCCTTCTTTGGTCTTTATGATCGGCTTCTTCAGTTTCGCAGTTGTGTTTATTTTAGTTAACTCTGGCCGGGAGGGAGCTAAGGAAGGGTAATCTTATATTGTGCTACAGCAGTTCTTAGTTAACAATTAAAAGGAAATGGAATTAAACGATATATAACTATGTAATATTAAGTTTTCGACTTGAACAACCTACATTAAGCCTAAATGTTTAATTAAAAGTCTAACTACATTTTACGTACTCAAATGGAAAATGATAAACCAATAGGACCAAGCTATATCTACGTGCGAGGCTTAAGAGAACAGCAATAGCATTTTATAAATGAGAATTGTGAATAGTGAACATACGAATATAATGGCATTTCACAACTCGTTTCTGTTTCAAATTACATCACTTCATTTTATACAAAGCGAGCTTGCAATGGTTTCCGCATTCGAATATCAAATCATCTTTATAAAACAATTGACAAAAAAAAAGTGAATAATAATAATAATTATTATGAATTTGCACACGCTTTTGATAAGATAACAAAATTTTGCTGAAATCGCTTGCTTGCAATGCAACAAAAGTATTTAATCAAAATGAACAAGTTTTTTATAAGCTAAGCACCTGGTTGGCTAATCACAGAAATAATTGAAACTCTTCAACACAAATACAAAATCCAAAATGCAAAATGCAAAATACAAAATACAAAATATTCATAGCTACATATAATGAACGACCAAACAAAGTGTATAAATTGAAAGTTTCATGGCAAACAGTTGCTAAACATTTTTGAATGCAAATGTATTTAGCACATAAGAAGTTTATATTTATATTTAAGCGCAAGCGGGAATCTAGATAACGAAGCTACTAAAACTAATCGAATCGAATTAAAATTGTTTCTTCTTTTGCATTTAAGTGCGGGCGAACAACTTTTTCTAGCGCTAAGATAGAACACACACGAGAACTATCAAAATTTCTAAATAAAAACTGCATACATATATTGACATTTCAATGTTTCACACGTGTTTCAGTAAGCCTAGGCATATTTACAGTCTGGGAGAGGGAATTACACTAATCTAAGAGAGTCTTAACATAGGCAGCATCGTCCTGTGCAAACTTATCGGCCTGCTCTGCTGATACTTCTACGCTATGGTAATTGTCCAAGCCAATTTCTTCCTCTTTCCTGCGGAGATGCAAAGTTTCTTAGTTTGGTTTTTATGGGGGACTTACAATTCAGTTCGAACTCACTTGAGCAGAATATCGACAACATTCTCACACGCCAGCAAGCACTCGCTATCTCGTCCCACTTTCGCCTCCCACTTGTGGTACTCCCGCAGTATCTCGTAGACACCCTTGGCGCGCAGCACCTCGCGGCAGCGTCTCGTGGCGCAGAGCTGCAGCAGGCACTCTAGCAGCATTTTGCGCAGATCCGGATCGGATTCACGAGTCTTGCTTTCTGGCAGGTACTAAGAAGAGTATACAGAATAAATCGAGCCCACTGCATCTGTATTGCAATATACGCACCTGCAGCTCAATGGGCAGCTTCTCGTTGTCTTCGTCGCTGAACTCTTCTGGGCCGCACAGCGGCTGCAATATGGCCACCAAAATGTCGTCCTGCTCATTCAATATGATATCATGGTACACCACATCAAAGCATATGTTCTTTATGATGCCAATGGTGCCGCCGCGTCGCACCACACTCTCCTCAAACGAGGCAAAGGGCAGCAGCTTCTGCAGCAGCTGATACTTTGGCTGGCAGCAGATCTCTCGGCCACGCGACACTTGAGTTAGATTACAAAATATTGACGCCAAGTAGTGAAGTTTGCACTTTTTCTTATTATAATCCAATTTGGCAAACGCTTTCGCCAGTTGCAACAGCGTCGGCTCCAATGTGTCCAGTATAGCCGGCACCAGCGACTCGACGCGGGTCAAGTTACTCAAGACCATGCTCCAGGCATCTGCAAGCTCTGCCTGCTCGTCGCTTATTTGCTTGGCGGCCACATCCACAATGGCAAAGCGCTGTGCAATTTCCGTGATTAGTGACTTTAGGCTTTAGTTTACTATTCACTTACGGGCTGCACTTGCTGCGCCAGCTGAAAGACTTTGAAAGCGCCTGCCTCCTCCGCCGTGAGATTTATCAGGCTGAGAACTGCATCCTTTGCAACTGTGGCATTGGCATCCAGCGTCAATCCAAAAATGGCCATTAACATATCATCTAGCGAGAGTATTGCATCCTTTCCCTCTGTGCTGCCAGTCAAACCTAGGAGATTATGAAAATACAATTTTTACTACAATTTGCATTGGCCATCGAGCACGTGTTGCATTTGCCGCACATTCTTCCAGCTGCGTCTGCTCTGGGCATTCACCTACTTAGCACATGTGTCAATGCCACTGCCTTGAGATCCAGGCGCTGATTGGGTTGCATAAATTGTACTAGCTCTTTTACAGTCTCCATGGTGTGCAGTTATTGTTAAAACAAATTTATTTAATAATTTGTGTACTTTAAGCGGCGCGTAGTGTGACCGTATGCAGCCTAACATAAAAATACGTAGTTTCTGTGGAACTATGAGTATCAGCTGTTATGTTAATATCTGCTGTTAGCAGGTTGTGTTTTCGTTTAATAAACGGAGCATCTGTTAAATGGTTGATGTCTTTGCTTAGTAGAGAGTCGGTGACTTGCTAACACATTGACGTTATACGAGCATTTTTCTAAGCTTCGTTAACATTACAAATGCGACTTAAAATATTTGTATCGATGGTTGCAGTCTCTGCTAGAGGTGCTGGTCACTTGCTAAAAAATTCAATCTATCTGTTATATAAGAATCTTCTGAAATCTGAATTAGCTGAATTCAGTTGCGTCTTCCCATCATATTCCCTTACTAGAGGAGATAATTACAATGGTCTGAAACAAAAATTGTTAGTTGAATTAAATTCTAGTTTATCAACATTTTTAATGGTATATTTAAATTTTAACCTTTATTTTAAAGACAATCTTATAGAAACTATGATAACTATATCTATGCTGTGGTATTGGAGTAGAACCAGGATTTCTGTTAAAGGATAACAGCAAGTATAACAGTCTAATGTAATCGTTTTCTTTTGCTTCCTATGAGAAGCTCACTGCTATGCAAAATATAAGTAACGTATTTAAATTGATTTCATGAGTATATTTAATATTCCAACAAGTATTTTAATCGGAGTCAGTCAAAACTTCGATTATCAGGAGACATAACTAATTGACAAAAAAA